GAGAGCCCGAAATGGTATTCTGATTCTTGCCCTATTTCACTTTTCACCCTAATTGCAGACTAGCACCGGGCATGCTTTCAGCTCATTATTCTCTACAGAGGCCTGCTAATGGTATTTCATCTACTGCTTAATTCTACAGCTTTAACATGAAAAAATTCCTTTCAAATTCAATACCGATGAGAGCAAACTGTAGGTCTGCCTCTCTGCTTTTTGTTTAGCTGTTCAGTAACTGGATAAACATTAACCAGCTGGATAGTGCAATTATGATTTTTTTAAGGTACTGTAAATGCTTGCAACAGCATAGTATCTGGCAGCCTCACAAATATTAATGAATGCATTCTTGTTCCACTCACACTATTAAAAGTGATTAAGTGCTTTCACAGAGGTCATGCAGAAAATGAATGGCAGAACCAAGCACTGAGGAAAATGCAAAGTTTTTTCCTAAGAGATACTTTTTAAGACATCCCACAGCACAATAAATAAGCAAGAAATAAGCAGAAGAAACGCAATTAGAGAAAGAATTGACATTGGGCACTCATTATTTACTAGGAGCCTGAATGTACTTAGACATCATTTCCAACGAACTCAGCAAACAGCTTGCTCAACGAGATCAGGAGTAAGGGTTTAGGATTTGGATTAAAAACACAGAAAAAAAGTAAACACTAATATTCCCCTCTTGGGAAATCATCTCTACTAATTATTTGTCTACAGCTTTCCTCAATATTGCTGTCTAAACTGCATTTGTAAACATGGCTCCATTGTTCTATAACAAAAAATTAATGCACTTTTAGGAATTTCTTGCTGAACTGTATTAGAGAAAATTAAAGTTTTGAGCTATTGTTAATTCTCTATGGAAAACACTTCATTTGTACCAATAATAAGGGAAAGGTAAATATTTGGAGACAAATATAAGGGAATTTCTGTGTCCGTACATAGAAATGTGTCTGTTAATTGTGTAAGCTCTAAAGCTAACAAAGTCATCAAACACAATGGCTGAGACTATTATTGTAACAATTTTCAAATGTCGAAAGCAATCAAGAAGTGTAATCAAATGGCACCCTGAAAGGAAGAAACTTTTTTTAAAATTTTTGCTCTTAAGCTTGTAAATTTCATGCATTTTAGCACAAAAGCTATTTTTTACATTAGTCACAAATGCCTTGACGTCTGGATATTTTTATTATATTTTAGAAGTGCATGCATAAACAAAGGCAAATACAAACCAATTTGTATTTTTTGAGATGTATTTAGCCTTAATCAAAATTGGTCTTTTATTTGTGTGTTAAAATTATATTTTTTGTTTGTGTTCAGTTGGGACCAGAAAGCGTTACATGTGCTGCTTATTCAAAACACTAAGGCACAAATGCTGTAAGAAGATTTTCAGCTTTTTCTTATATTGTCTGGAGGGGAAAAGAAGTATAAGTACTTAGGATAAGTATAAGCACTTCTTTGGCAAGTATTTGTGTTGACACATGCCAGCAAAGCCTCACAGATTGTTGTTCTCAAAATCAGCAACCATGCCAGATAGTTCTGGTTCTTTCTCTGTTTGGAACACACAACCTCCTTTTCATTGGTTTCATTTATTTCAGGTATTTTTCATTTCCTTGTATGAAATTTTGAGGAATCTTGAAGATGACAGCGTCATAAACACTTTTAGTGCAGAAAGGCATTTTTAACTAAGAAATGGTCAATTACATATTTCCTAACAATGATCATCACCTAGTATTGAACAAGCTATGAACAGGAGGAAACTCCTATTAAGTTATACGTGGGTTTTTATTCTAATATATATTTGTTTGTAGTAAGAAATGGTGAATCAAAATGAAATTTCTCTCAGTGTCCATCAGATACTGTAGCAGCTCACCACAGGCCATTCACATCTCTGCTGTCTTTAATGCCATGACTTCTTTGTATAGAAGACAGAGATTCTGCTTCCTCCTGTTTTAGATTGGATTTATCCTGACATCCATTTGTACTCTAGTTAGATGACACTTTTGTCACATTTTAGAAACTATAGGCTCATCATGAATTTGGCTTTTGGCAGAACGGCCAGGACCAGAAATGCAATGGGTGCAAACTTTTTCAGTAAAACTGGGAAGGTTGAAGATACCTTCAGCTTGGGTTCAGCTGTGCAGAACACACCAAAGGAAAGAAATGTAGGAGAAGAGCACCAGGTGTAGCAGCTGTAGGAGAAAAGCACCAGTCTGTTCTGAAATACAAAGAAGACAGGCCAGGGATGTTATGTTGTACAGCATAGCCACTCAGAAAATCTTCTCCAGATCGACCTCAGAGACATGTTCCCAACCTGTGACAAACCCCAAAATAACCCTTAGAGTAGCTTATGAAATGGTACCAAGGAACTACAGAGGACCAGTAGCCTGAGTGTAAGACACATACAAAGATTCTCCTTTTCTAAAGAAATTGATGTATTGTTTGATCCATGTTAAAAAGTATTTGCCAAGAGTAAAAATATAATTGTGATACACAACATAATTTTTAATAGTTATGATGGCAGAATACATGGAAAATAAAATTGCATTTATGGCTATGCATTGCAAAACATATCAATGTTAGCTACAAATATGTTGGAGGCAAATTTTCAATATTTGAAATATTTTAAATAATCTTATATTAGTAGATAATAAAACCCAGGAAAAGCACATCCTCTATGATAATGTGAGTCAATTCTATCCCTGCTGCATTACCCTCTCTGTGATCTTGGATACAGCTGGGAGCTAGACAAGGAGAAGGAGGAGGAAAAGGATTACATGTGGAGAACCAGAAGAAATGAGTGTTTCAGTGCACTGGTCTTCACAGAACTTGAAATTAGTGCAGAAGTCTATGGCCTCTTCCACTGCCATCGTGTGCTCCAGAAGTGCCTTCCTTCCGATTCAGAACTGGAAAGAGAGCACCTCTTTCCTTTTTCCTTTTCATCTACATCTCCAAAGACAGAGCATAAAGAGGAGACTTTTCTAACTCCTAAGAATGCAATCCAGTAGGATTCTCTGAATGAAATAATAATGAGTGACAAGTTTCTGTAACTAGCCAAGAGGCAGTAGTTACCTCCTGCAGTGTTTTAAATGTGGGTAAACTGTGTACCACAGGAAAAGCTGATTGTTTCAGATCAGACCAGTGTGCGACCTTTGTACTGGATCGGTTCAGCCCCATAGGTGGAAATGGTTGCTGCTGCATTGGACAAATTCTGCAGTCATTATGTGGACCTTGTCGGGAAGTGAAAGAAATTAAATGAAAGAAAAGTCATGAAAATGGGACAAAACCAATTTTCTCCCGCAGCTCTTGCAGCCTGTTCCTCTGATGTTCTTTTACTATGTAATCCAAAATGTGGACAAAGTTCATTGCAGCATTAACAATCTAAAATCAAGTCTCAGCTGAGACTAATTTGCATGGATAATGAAAGCAGTTTTCAAGTGTGGCATTATATATTTATTTTTTTAAGTAAATGCTGACATTTTGAGTTTTCTGGAGCACTACCTATGACCCTCTTGGCTTTGTTTTGTGCTTTGAAGTTCAAACTAGTGGCCAGTTGGAAATGGATTTAGAGCTCCCTGACCGCTGTGGAAGGAACTGGGGCAGACACTTGGGACTGAAAATTATTTAGCCTGGCAAGCAATCAGGAGGATATTTTCAGAATAATAAATCAAACTCACACCTCTGGACAGACAGGACATGGAGATGTAGATCACTGATTTTTGTGCTCCTGCCCTGATGAGCAGAAGTGCCACCACAGCCCATTGTTGACTTTCCACCAATCTCCTGCTGACATTGCCATCATTCAGGTCCAAGTGACATTGATTTGCCCGGACTGCTTTATAAGCAGTAAGGCAGTGAAAAACATCATTTTACGTTCCTACAGCTAAACAGGTTTTCCGGAGAAATCTAGTGAAGATGCCACCTGAAAACACCATCCAAAGGCTGCTGGGCAGACCAGAGCCTGATGGTTTTTACGATTTTTAAGTCATTCATCAGCATTGTCATTCCCGAGACACTTGCATAGGACAGACCCGGGGTGCCCCATTCCTCCAGCTGTCTGTGAGGCTGCTCCACTGCACCTCCCTTGCCCTGACAGAAACATGGAAGGCTTATTAGGGCGAGACTTAATGCTCCCATCTACGAGCAGCTTTGGAATAAATCCAGAAGAAAACAAGATGATTTTTTTTCTTTTTTTTTCTCCAGAGTGTACAAAAGTCAAGGGCGTCCAGCCAGCTCCGAGTGCAAGGCCCTCAGGGCAGAAGTGGTTGGGCAGGCGGATGTGTTTGGGCAGGGGGACGGGGTAGTGCCATCTTTTTCCGTGCCGTGGGGCAGCGTTGTAGCATCCACGTGGGCTTTAAAAAATAACCTTGGCTCTGCCGGGGCAGCAGCACGTGGGAGGGAGGGTGCGCCAGGCTGCAGCTGGACTTCACCCTCGCACCAAGGTGGTGGGGATGGAGAGCAGGGCCCGCGGGTGGGCGGGGTGTGTATGTGCGCGCCTGTGAGTTAAATTACTACTTTTAAAAATATGGATTTATTTTTATTCCCTGGTGAAGACCGGGGCGGGCTCTTTCCCCTCAGGATCCTGAGATCCCTGCGCTCCTTTCCCCGCCCCCCGCCAGGGCAGACGGGCGGCCGCCGTACCTGGCGCCCTGGGCCCGGGAGGAGCCGGCCCGGCACCGGCGCCGAGCAGGTGGGCGCGGCGGGGACGCGGCGGCGGGGCTGGGGGTCCCCGGTGCCCCCGGCCCCCCTCACA